GAAATAATAATTCAAAAAAGTTTATATTAGTAAAATTTTTTTTATAAAAGATATATAATAAAAATTTTTATATTCAATAAATTCTCAGAATTAAAATTTTATTTTGAAAAAATAATCTATTAATATTTATTTGATGTATCAATCTTTTTGTACCAGATCATATATTGATTAAATTATATCTTTATTTAATAATAAATAATTTTTCTAAAAAAATTTTTTAAAAATTATATTTGGTATTCTTTTCATAGACTAGTAATATTAAAGATTTATATTAATTAAATATATTGCTTTATATAAAAAAATATATATATTAAAAATTAATAAAAACTAAATCTGCTATTAAATTTTGAAGTTCAATAATTAAATATTATAAATTATATATAGAAATTTTTTTAATTATTGAAAAAATAGTTTCTAAGATATAAATCTTAATGATTATATTTATATTAAATAAATATAAAACTAGAAGTTTTTAGTTTCAAAATATCTTAACAATTATACTTGTTAGATAAATATTTAAATATAATTTTGAATAAATTAGAAGTTTTTAATTTCAAAAATCTGCATAATTTGTAGCTTTGAATTTAGTTTAAATTTTGAATTGCTTCAAACTGACTGATTGGATAGGTGTCATTTATAATTTAAAATAAGTTTTATATCTTATATTCTAATAAAAATAAATTTTTAATTGAAATTAATTGATATATCTTTACTGTATTTCATAATATTATTTGCAAATTATAATCATTAATTAATACTAAAAATACAACTATAGTTTTATTTAAAAATCTGTATAAATTATTAAAATAATATAATATTACTATCACCATTTGTAAATAAAATTATAGTTGTGTCAAAGTCAGATTTTAATTTGTAAATTTGGAAACATAAAGTTCAATGTTACAGTTAAAACTTTGGTCAGAATTTGGTATTTAATGATTGATATCAAAATTCAGATCAATTCAAAGAAACTAATTTGAAAAAATCAAATTGTAAGCTATCCAAAATTTTTCTATATTTAACGTTGAAATCATTTTCTAATTCTGAAAGTATGTTAATTCTTATGTAATTGTTGACGCTAAATTTGCATGATTAAACATGACAAAATCCACTCGCTTTATCGTTATAAATTTATTGAACTAGATATGTAACGAATGAGAGACATGTGATAAATATTTACGAGTATCATTAAAAATTTTAGGTGCACGAAAATCTGCAACAATTGTCCATTTTTTATTTACTCTTATAAAACTCGTTATAATACCTGTAACAAATTATGTAACCTATGGGGATAATTTTTTCGTTATCAATAATTATTGCATGGGAAAAATGTAAAAATAAAAAAGCTTCGGTTAATATAATCGATAAAATTTGTAAATGAAAAAACAAAAAAAGTTGTAAGCATCTAAATCCGGTATAGCAGGTTGGATATACTAGTATTAGTATTAGTATTAGATGGACCATTCGATTAATTACACCTGATAAACTTTCTTTTGTTTATTAAATTTAGCTTGTAATTATATTTATAATATTGCGCAATATTATGAGATAAATGTATGTGACAAACGTCCAATTCGCAATAGAACGTGTTTTTTTAGCTGGCTTAATTTGACGGGATCTTTCGTAAAAATGAAAGCTTATTATCAATGCCCAACTTATTCTTTGTATGGTCAACTTGTACATAAAAATAGCTTTACAGCAAACAAATAATTATTCCGTAATCATAATGCAAATAAAATTTCATTTATAAACGATAACTCGATTTTCTTTTTCCCCAACAAATGAAATATTACGTAACTTAATTACATGTTAATTAATTTGCTTGTTGATCAAACCTGTAAAGTTTTTTTCGATCACACTTGAAAAACAACGTAATGGCCAATCACACAATCATAGTGTAGCATGTTGTAAATGTTGTAACTTGTAAATGTTGAATAAAATTTTCACAGAAAACTCTAATTACTGTGCTTTAAACTATTTCTAAAAATATCAGTCGCTTAATACATGCAAAATATACCGATACGATTAGAAAAATGCATTTACTCTTCACTTGCAATTAATACTAATTAATAAACTGACGTTGTTTGATAAAAGGCAAGAATAATGTATAACTTTTATCAATGTTTTGGATTTTAAAAAAGTCCTATTTATAAACTTCGTGTTAATGAAATGAAATCTCAATTAGAAATTACCAATAATAAGGACGCCAATTTCATCATTCACATGTTAATTTGAAAATCAAGGAAACCGCGCGATTTTTCGCGTAGTACTTGCAAAGCATCTGTATAACTGTGACGAGTCAAGTTGTACGGGTTTTTCTATAAATGTTAAAAAAACGCCCGTCAAAGTGTTTCTCTTTTGTGCGAGCGTATTACTTGATTCAAAAAAAGCATAGGAATAGTAAAGAAGTTTGTCTAATTAATTACATGGCTTGATTTAGGCAATCACAATCTCACAACATCACAACCTGATACATGTATTAGTTGTGAATAGTAACTATTCACGGTGACATCATGAATTTCCGGAGGGAATCACAAGTTACTATGTTTATGAAAGTTTAGCTTTCTTTAACGATTGCTAAAGATATTGAAGATTGAAGCATCCGATTTGCATGTAATTTGTTATTGTCGGCGTCTTTCCGTCGGAAGTCAAGTAATACTGATGTGTAATAAATTAAAAATTGATATACGGGCGTAATACGTTCGTATACATTTGAGTAATGGTATAAATTTCATAAAGATAATGTTAATTAATTGAATATGCATTAGTTTAAAAACCACAATTGAAAGAAATTTCTAAATCGAAAAACAAAAAATCAATTGATTTCCAATATAAACAACGTCCTATGAACAGCCAGCCCACAATTATAGCGTGATAGTAATAAAACTTTAATAATCATTATTATCGTGGAGTCCCGGATGATCGCGTTAACACGCCATTCCAATCGTTTTACAAGTGCAGCGTAACATATTATCATATTCCCAGAAGAATAAATCCCGTTATATTACACATAAAAACACAGCGTTACATATTGACGCCACACGTTATCAACTATTTCACCATATCGTTATTTTGCTTTTATATCAAAATTAGTCATTATGTGTACCTAACACAAAACTCAGATTTATACCCCACTGCGTAGAATAGATTAAACAGGAATTTACATTATCTTAAAATTTAATTGGATGAATCGGCGTCCCATAACGCATGTTGCAAAAAGCTTTCCGGTATAGCTCAATGTGGCGATCAAAAAAGTTACGTCATATTTTTCGAGGTTCAAAAACTCTCATTGTTGGTTCATTCCTTTTTCTTTTAGTATGTATGCTAAGTGCACAAATAAATGACTTGTTCACGAACTCCGTTTTCTTTGTTTGTGCTGTTGCTACAATTACTCGTACAGCCTCTGATTTAATGTATTTCCCATTTTGAGCAATAATTCTTAAGCGCTAACGACATTTTAAATTTAATCACTTTAAATCTCTTACATAATATAGGCTGTTTACTTTTATATTCAATGATTCCTGTTATCTAAAGTCAGAAGTTTTAGCGGTAATTTAAGGGCAAATAAATAAACTTTAGTTTACGCTCAAAACGATCTCGCCTACAATCAAAAAGAGTTGTTGGTAAACAAAAGATAGATAAATCATAAGAGAGAATTGAGTGAGACGAGTTACTCTCTTTTTGACGAATAAATATGAAAAAGTGAGTTTAACTATGAAAGTTTTGATTCTTCGGATTAGTGAGCACATCTCAGGAGACGAGAAAGTGATTGACAAATTCAGTAAAACCATTTTGAGCTTGGAATTACAGTCGGTCAGGGCTTGGAAAAAAGACTAGCTTAGATATTTTGCAAAGGAGTAATCTTTTTTATTGAATATACCTTGCTCATGTATTAATTAATTTTTTATTCTTTTAAAACAAGAATCTTTATACCCCTAAAGAAAGACTGCAGTTGATCGATCCTGCTTTTTTACAAGGAGACCTTATAAGGTCTGTAATCATGATTCTTACAAGTACACCGGAGTTCGTCATTTATTTCACTTCATAAACTTGAAGTTGTTGATTTTTTACATAAACGGGTTCATAGAGTTAGGCGTAAACGCATACTAAAAGGGAAGTCCTAAATATGTTATAGTTGATTTTAGAACATTAAAAACTGTTAGAGTTCAAGGGAAAATTGTTTCCCGATGTTTCATTCTCAAAAATTGTGATACATTATGACAAGTTATTGAGAAAATTTCTTTATTTGGAAACATACTATCCGTGCAGAAGATTCCCACTAAACTAAGCCCTGAATATTCATTCGTATTTTCTGGGTTCCTTGCTTTAAGAACCTGCTTACCAAGAAACGACCTTTGATATTCGCGGTGCGCAATTTGCCCCCTGATATCTGCTAAGTTCACTTTAAATTGATACCCGATCCTCCATTGAAGTACACGCAGAAAATTTTATGCTGTGTATCAAAATAAGATCGCAGTTATGTTCGCCCATTTGCATAATCTGAGAAAACGTAAATAAAGAAAAGAAATCATCGCAGAAGCATACATATGAAAATGCGTAGAAACCAATCGTAATAATAATGTGTTTCCTTTAGGTTTAGTCGCTAATGTATCGGATTTTTGCCATTGTAATTGGCCCACAACTCCGAGATTCTTATCCATTTTTATGCGCATTCATTATCTACTCATTATATATAAAGAACTATTTTACTGCATTTTTTTCCAATTATTGATTTTTCTCTTTTTATTCTTATTTTTTAATTTTCATTTGGAAAGAAATATTAATATTAGCAAAAAAAAAAACAATAAAAAAAAATTTCATAAAATGTCAGACATTAAAAATATTGATATAAATTCTAGGCAAGAACAAAGTTACTCGTGCACGTCATCATCATCATCGTCGCCGACAGAAACCGTTTTTAATGTAGAGCAACGACAACAAAGATCACAACTGCCGCAATTAAAAATTTCCACGAAAAGAACAAAACACACAAGAAATCGTTCGCAAACGCACTTAAGAAAACCAGCATCATTTGGTAGTTATCTTTCCTATGAGCGCTCAAATTCAATTTCATCAACTTCTTCATGCGAGAGTTTAATCTCAACCAATTCAAATAATACACCGGTTGATTCTTATTATAATCATTTCTCTTCCTCCTCGTCTTCAAGTATGCTGCTCACTCCTCCATTGAGTCCGAGATTCATCTCGAATACAATCTTTGAGATTTGTCATCGAGTTTCATGCGCAATTGGATTAAATTATTTTCTAGAATCATTAAAGCATAGTGGCGGGAGTATGATGGACAATCATGAGAGCGTGTATACAAATACATCATTGACAGAAGATTACGACGAAATGGATGATATTAACACATCCATATCACGTGATAAAGGTTATTCAGAACATGAGGAGGAGGAGGAATTTCTTTTTGTAAATACACAACGAAATTTGAAAATTCGAGGAAGCAATAATAGCTCGATCTCTATTTTAACATAATAAATTCCATAAAGTTTCTACACTTTGTATAACTTTATAATAGACAACCAACATACACTAGAAATCCTGAACCAGTACTATCCTGGCGATTGATGGTTTATTGCAACTACATATTTCACTTTACGAATCCACTTAATAAAAAATTCGTACATAAATGAATTTTGCATTCCAGTTCAATTAAATTTGTTCGACTGATTTCTAATACTGTATGTAAAATACACAATCTAATAACCCGAAATTAATGTAATTTTTAATTGTATTCTCTTTTAAATGTGTAAACTAAAGTTACGCCAGATAACGCTGTACCTTTACTTGACGATAATTTATGCATTAAACGTGACAAAGCATTTGTTTGTATAAATACCTAATCCTAAAAAATAAATAGAACACGCATTTTTATTTGTATTGTTTGATTGGCATGCTTATTATTAGGCTAATGACAAATATTTATAAGTCGTGCGATGACGTTTCTCACACGGGAATTATGTTTTAGATGACAAATGCCATATTTTTTGTGTTTTTGATATTATTTAGAAATGATAACTTTGCCTTATGCAATTTACATTTTGCTCAATTTCTTTTAAATAGCAGTTCGAAAAATGTTTTCTATTGCATTTCAATGCGTAAAAAATGCTTTCTGTTGCATTATGCAAACTACATGTAATTAGAAGACAATGACTATGCAGACAATAATAATGTAATAACGCAAGTGTATAGACGTGACATATTTGATACATGCGTATAACTTGTGCATACGTTCTGTACGGTCTAGACTCTATGCTATAATTGGTCACTATAAGCTATCTCTGTCAGGTGCTGTGATTTTTTGGAGATTATGTCACTCTTTTATTAACTGTGCTTTTGATCATGTTTGTAATTATGTTCTAGTCAGATAAGAAAGCATCGAAAATAACGATAACCTCGGGGATTAGACGTGAAAATCTTCTCTGTTATTTTTTCCGACCCAAACAACCTTAAAATCTGAGCATTAATAAGTGGCTGTGTGACTTTTGCATTCTATACGACATTTAGTCATCGCACGGACCATGCCCAAAGTCTCTCTCACACTAAGAAAATTAACTGAAAAAAGATTCTGTATGCTATCATGACCTCTATGGTTTATAGAAATCTTCTCTGGGTCAATTACTGGATATCGGTATCATTTCACATGCTAAAAAATAGGTCATAATTTTGTATAACACTAAATTCTATTTTTATGGTTTCCTATAAAAATCTAGTTTTGAATTAATGGACACATTAAAGTAGAATGGTTCCTAACTTTATTTAATTAAATATCTCTTTATGCTAACTTAATACGGTTCTTTTAATAACATTTTTTGGTTAGAATTGGTTATTTATTGTAGACCTGATATTTTTTTCTGAAATTTAAAAAAAATTTATTAAAGCATATATAACATATATGGGTGCTATTGATCATTGGCATCACAAGAGCCAATAAGTGCATCTCTTAGATTCGTTAGTCACATTCAACTACGGAATATATATATCGATAGACAAGTATGTTCTTAGTTTTATGCTTCTTTACTTATTTGTATATTCTACATGAGTTATCATTTGTACGAGCACATATCAATCAAATGTATTGCATTAAATGGATGAATGAATTGGGAAAGCGAAGGTTAGATTTCTATTATTTATGCATTGCGTGTAAATACATTTTCCCAGACATTAAGGTTTATTTACAACAATGTATCCCTTCGTTCAATTTTCTTGGATAAATTTCTGCCTGCATGTAATAGACACGCATTATCGCAGATTTGTATGGCTATACAGGACGTTCGAAGCTAGATAAAACAAACTTAGCGTCGATGGCGATTACATGCTAGAATAATATTTTTCATGGGGATTTTGAAGTTAAAGATCCATAAATAATATATTTTCTTCTGATGTCAATAGCATTTAAAGTTTAAAGTTTAACTTGAAAAACAATGACTCATGTGCCAAAAATAATTATGCGAATACTATTTATGTCTTAAGCAATATATGATAAGGATAATGATAATGATAATGATAATGATAATGCTGACCGTAGTAAATGAAGATTCATCACAACCGTGATACCCAAAAATTTGGGTCTTCTCCAGGAATTTTTTTTAGCGTGAAAGCATAAAGCATCTGAACAAATGCCTTTAATTACCGATAACTTGAAAGAAAAAAATTTATTATAGTCGTAACGATAAAAACAAAAAATGGAAATCCTCGATATAGCAAGATTTACTAACGCTAATTATTCCACGCCCATATATGAGGTATCGGTATGGCTGAACAATGATTTTCTTAGAAAAAATCATAAAAGCATTTTGAATAATGAGCAGTTTTTTTTAAATCACAACAAATATTGCACAAAACTCGCATTTTCTTAAAAAAAATGAATACGCGGTAGCATTCTCCGTTACGCCAAGGGGGATGGATGCAATGCGCCTATAGTGATTTGCAGCAACGATGAATGAAAGGGAGGATGTGATGAACAAAAAAGAAAAAAATGCTTTAATAGGGAATTAAACTAAAAAATTCGTGTGATTATATATTTTTTTATTTGTTTTTGTTGGGGGGTTGGTAGGTCATGTGTTTTTAATTTAATTTTTGTCGTCGTATCGTTGTTTGTGACATGAATGAATAGTCACAACAGAAGATACAATAGTCATGACGAATAAGAAATAACTGTGCATGCGTATAAGAATAAATTTGGCAAAGAAAGAAAAAAAAAGGCGAGGCCAAGAACTTATGTAATATTTATGTTAACATTAGTGAGATAAAAAAAGTGAATAAATTATTCAGGTTTTCATGAGCTTATTCGAAATGAGCTTGTGGATCGATCCATTAACTGTTAACAAAAATTTTAAACAATACCCGAAACATAGTCCATTATTACCATTTTTCTCCAAGTTCGACGTCGATATGGTGACATCATAGTATTAAGAGCGAAAAATTTCCCAACTGCAAATTAATGAAAAAACGTGGCTAGCTTATCTTAGCTTATGAAATAGCATTCACACATTTTTTATATAGCCTATTATTTCGTCGACGTATCAAGGGTCTGCGTATTCTTAGTGTTATTTGGATGTGAGTACAAATGCGTTACCCACTTAATAGCATTTATTCGACACACTTTCATTTTAAGTTAATAATGATAATGTAAAATTGCGTCACCACTATTTTTTATGTTTCGTGGAGTTTGAATGGTGATACATTCATTAAAACTTTAAAATACAACATGCTAATAAAAATATTTCCAAAAAAGAGCAGCGAATCGTTTTCTTTCGCCAATAATCCGATTCTAAAAACCGAAAACTTAAATCTTCTTATAGTAGAAAAGATACGACAATTTGCATCACTTTCGTCCGTATCAAAAAAAACATATATCAACTTGTAAGAAAGATTACGCAACCATGCATAAATACTGTAGTAATTAATATACGTGTACCGTATTTTTTAGTTGATCCGAAAATTTATTTCCAATCGTTTTTTTCTCGAAACGAATAAAATGCCAGTATGGAATGCACAAGAACACGTGTTACACAAAAATAATTAAAAGGAAAAAACTAATAAGAGAAAATGACAATTCATCGGAATCACAATATTGTTGTCGTCAAAAAAACGTTAGAAAAAAAAACAAATAGTATCCGTCAATTCTATTCTATTGAAAATCTCGGTCCGAACAAAATGGATGAATGCATCCGAATACAATGTACTAGTTTATTGTATTTCACATCGGGATTAATAATTAGTTTGGGGTGGTGGTGGTCAGGAGGACAAAAGAAGTAAGTATAATGCTTGAAATGTCTCTTTCTTTTCGTTTGATCTAAATTTTTAATTTCGAAAAAATTTGTAAATGTAAAATGCAAAAGTTGCAGCCCATTGTTCTCAACACAAGGATGTGTGTGTGTGTGTGTGTGTGCAATGGTGTTCTGTATGGCATGGCTTTTCTATTGTGACTTTGAATGGACATTCAGAGAAGAGCCAGCTGACTTTCATCTATCTTTTCATTTTGTCCACCGTGTTCACAATATAATTTAATTCGAAAATATTACCGCGTGATTGAAATATACAATCAACATAAAAAAGGGAATCTTAATAGAATTATTGAGGATGAAATGTCATTTTACCATCGTAGAAATGCAAACGGAACCAGTAAAAAAATGATTAAGGAGAGTCAAACCCGTTACAAACACACGACATGTATCTTTCTCTCCTAAAATAAATATGTAGGTGATGATGATAAGAAGATGTAAATTCACTCCGCCGCCGGAAAACTAGAGATTTTTTACATCCCTCCTTTGTTCTGTGATGAGATGATATTTTTTAGCTTCTATAATTATATTACAAAAGAAAATGTCAAAAAAAAAAAAGGGATAAAATAATACTTTAAAACAAATATATAGGTGATAATAATGCACACATCACTCACTAATGGTATTGGTATGTTCTCCACAGTTTGGTTATAATCGGCTATAACAATATTACAATATACATATATAATTATTAATTATTTATTATCTATAAAGAAGCTTCCGTATTAATAAATATTTGTAATATTCCCTAAACAATACGTTCACTAGTTAGTCTCGTTTCGTCGTTTTTGGTTTTTTTTGTTCTTGTTATTGCTTTTGTTATTGATTTACGCTATACACAATACAGTATATACACTGTGCATTACAATAACATAAAGATATATAATATACAGTATATAAACGCCACATATAAATCATATAAAAGTATTCGTTGGTGTGTACGTCGGTTCACATTTTTACTCTAAAAAATAACATCCTTCCTGACACACACACTCACACACACGCACACGCACACAAACACAAATATTCAAATATATTTTTTTTAATTTTCTGACTTTTATTAAGACAACACAAAAACCAAAACAACAACCTCAACTCTTTACGACAACATTTGATAAAATGTATTCAATAACATCGTCGAAATTTTCTGGCTATGACAACTATAACAATAGCAACAATAACATGATGACATCAATAACAGCCCCACAGCAGCAGCAAAGTCAACAGAAAAAAAGAAAATTTCGATTCCAAAAGCATTTACGAAAACCACAATCATTTAATACTTATCTGTTACATCGCTCCAATTCCACTTCTTCAACTTCATCGTGCGATAGTTCAATATATACTCTAGCATCATCTCCAACCTCTACCAATCCGCCGAACAATAAGTTAACATCATCGGCAACATCGGCACCGACATCTACAACAACTACATCATCATCGGAAATGGTCGTTAACATAACATCGGGATTAGTTCGACGACTTTCTGCAACAATTCGTTTTGCAGGTTTATTGGATGGAAGTATTCACCAAGATGATGTCAGCAGTATTAACTATTCTTCCAGTAACAATAGTGCTGATGATTGGGATCCACGTGAGGATGATGAAGACGATGAGGAGGAATTCTTTTATAACAATAGCAATCGTAACAGTATTTGCTGATGGTTGGTTGGTCCGTTAAAAAACGTGATTATTTATAAAAATAAACATTACTTGTACATTTTTCTTTTTGCTTAAATCACGTGTACATTATTATATCCGAGGTAATCCAGCACGATTACCACAACAAAGTAATCGGTCAATAATGGAAAGGAAATAAGAACATTAAATACTTAATAGTAACAGGTAGCATAGTAACAAAGTGATACTCACTTTTTTATGCAAACACTCAAAAGACATTTTCATTGTTTTAATAGTAGAGTTTTCTGTTCAGAAAAAAATTTTTATTGAAGAAAGACTTTAATAATTCAAGTGTAGCAAGCATTCTAAAAAATTTTAAGTTTTTATCTCTCCCTCTTTTTTTTTTCCTTTACTCACACCTCCCTTTTGGCTGTTAAGTTCGTTAAGTAATAAAAAATGATATCGAATAAATAATATAAATAAATACAGAACCACAACTATTTTTTTTTTTTTTTGAAATGTTATATTCTTGAGAAGAAAAAAAGGTTTCAGGAACGCGCGCGTAAAAATATTTTTGAGTATCAATGACGATGATGTGGTACAATGAACTTTATTTTTTATACCAGCATTTGCTCGAGTTATCGGGATTTCGGAGTAGAAGATTTACATAATATGAAAACCTGTTTTTGGCCATTTAAAAGAAAATAGAATGATGACAGAGAAAAATTCATTCTTTAATAAATAAAGAATAGACTGAACAGATTTCACTAAGCGCTAGCTCTATACATGAATTCATTAACCCAGAATAGAAAAAAATAATATGCAACCGGTTTTTCTTTAAATAACAATAAATGGCATTAAGCATTCACACTTATCAATCCCAATATAATTGATTTCTTGTACGCTTAAATTATTCCTGTTTGCAAACCTGAATTTAATGTTATTCGTTTATCACGGGTTGATTATGAGGGTGGATGACAAAGCGACATGTAGAAATGATTATGTGTAAAAATTTGTGCTAATATTCTTTCATCATTTATCTCTTATCACACAAACCTTTGACACTTTTTTTTTCTTTTCAATGATTTTTACTTTCCCAAAGTTTCATTTACGATTCCGTTTTCCACCTGCAAGGAAAGGAAGGAAAAAACCGACCGACCGACCCAAATATCCGAATTCACAGCCCCTTCGTCCGTTTTCGCTTTATCATCCAACGAAAAACAGTATACGCGCCACATTGCATCAAGCGAGTGAGAAAGTGTTTACATGCATGTATGCATGTTAATGTATTAACCTGCGAGGAGGTTTGCATTCTTTGCCGAAACACAACATAAAGCTCAACCAGCAAATCAGATTGGACAATGTGCATTCTTTTACTATCACTTTTGAAGGAAAGCTTATAGAGATAAATAAAAAAAAATGAAACACAAAGAAAACCTTATTTTCCCTCCAAAAAAAAAAAATTTCTGACTTTATAATCACTTCAGCTCAGTTGAATGAATGAGTAAATGAAAAAACTTTATTCTCCGTATGACTTGATTTATATGTAAAGTTGCAACACTAAATCAATATTAATTAATTCCGATGTTCTGCGTGGCAGTCTTTGTTTTTGCATCTTCAAATTAAAACTCACATCTATCACGGTTAGCAATAACCGCGCGTGACCCATCTTTTGGTTCTTGTGCGTGCTTTTATTTCGATCACTGATTGATTTGTCCATTCATTCAGAGAATCTCCTCCTATCTGCGCATATTTTGATGAATACATGAAGAATCTGGTTTTTTTCGGTTTTTTCTCACCCCGCCTTTTTTAATAATATTTTTGATTTTTTTTATATTTACCAAGTAGTCTTATCATTTCCTTCCGGTTTCTTTCTGCACATGCAAATAATAGCAATCATCACTATCGCATTGTTTTTTTTTATTTGAGAGGAAAAAAAAGAGAGATCAAACAAATCAATCAGTTCGGTAAATTGTTCTAACGTAAAATAACAGCAATGACTAAATCATATGACGCACGATATATTGTATTTTCATCTACTGGGTAGACCGTGTTTTATCGTCTGCTTAGTACTAATCGGTCGAAAAAGTTATTATGGATTTTTTCTTTACACTTTATCTATTGCCTGACGTTTTTGATTCATATAGTTAATCAAACTTAAAGGAACAATGATCTCAGCCTTCTTTTGTCTAGAATATTATCCAAAGCCAAAAGATTATTCGCACGTTTCAGTGTTTTGGATTCTTATTATATAACATAATGGATACACAAGTACAATATTATAATGAATGATATGCATGTAGCAATAACAAACCCCATATTAACTTAATTACGTTTTCTATCATAAAGAAAAGAATTCGAGCATAGTACTAAAACAATATGATTGAATGCTTGTACATATATTAGTCTGTTTGTTTAGGACTTTGCTTCATATTAGGTTGTCAAGAATAATCCAATCCGCTCTAACATTTCGATGACTAAGATTGTAAAGCTCAAATAAATAATCTAAAAACAGTATTCACTCCGAAAATTCTGCATTATCACACTCAGCAAGTATTAATTCCTTGATATCACAGTTCACTTGCTTATTTATTCTTCCCTTTATCTCATCCGAATTGACGGAAAATCAAAACTTCTCACGAATGCATAATTTATTGAAAAAGTTACACTTGTACTTTGCATTTACATACATTCGATGCACAGGTAAGCGCAAACAAAGAATTTTCTTGGTTGAGAAAAATTTTGCAAATAACAAAAAAATAAGAACGATAAAGGATGAATTCGCGGAAGGTTGCACATCAAAAAGCGCGCGTTGCTTAAGCAATGGTCAGGCAGGCAAAGTAAATTACGTAAAATGAACGGTGCATATGACAAATAGTAAGCATATTCTCTGATGTTAATTCTATAAGCGATGCATTTTCTAGAAATTGGCAAATCCCATTACAACGGACCAAATTTCATTAGAACTATGAATTAATTAATATCGATTTCGCTATGAATTAATATCGATTTCGTTGTGTTGTGAATTAGTTTACCCCCATTATCGTTACTATTTTATTTACTATTTACTATTTATTTACTTTTATTTACTATTTATTATTGTTAGCTGTTTCAAAATAACTAGTCATCAGGCGGATTATGTTTTATTAGGCAATATCCTTGACATAAAAAAAAAATAAACTATTTAAGAGATTTGCAATGTCACCTTATGTAAGTGATATTTTTTTTTGCCATGTGTTGTCATACAATTTCGCTTGTAAGACACAAAGAAAGAGAATGACAATCATGATCTATTTTATTTTCTAAGGGGAATGAAGTTTATACAAGAACTTAAAATTTTTTTCGCTTCAAGTGAGAGAGATAGCGCAGGGAGGATAAAGAAACTTTTAACTCTAATCAAACGAAGAATGTCGGCCTATTCTTTTTATGGATAACAATAATAAATTTGAGTGGCTTTGAATTGTTACATCGGACAAGTAAACTTTTTTTGAACTCTAATTACGGGAAAGTTTCATAAGCCTCACTTTCTTTGGGTCGAATATACAGAGAGATAATTCAATTTACGGTCGCTTTAACAAAAACAAAAACTTTTATAGAGTCCTTTTTTCCCGTGAAGTCAACAATCATTGCTTGTAAGCACGCAATAATTAATCAATCGACACGGAAAGTGACGGAATTGCACAAAAACACTATTAAACAACTTACATACGCATGCATATATTCCGATAGAATGCACTATTATATACTTATGCAAAGTAAATCACATCCTAATAAAATGTAACTGTATTAAATTGACATTGTTGTCGGTATGATTATCGTCGAGATATCTTTGTTGTCAGAAAAATTTTTCAAAAAAAAAAAAAAGCTTTATAAAGAATAGTGATAAATATAAATAAATAGATTACATGTATTTTACCATCACGAACATGTCTCACTAAATTGAACATATATTTGTGCAAAGAAATCCAGATACTGCATTATACTGTCAGATGGCATCATGCATATGATAAAGAAAACAAATTCTTGATCTTGTGGCATTAAATACATAAACTCACATATAATCACAGAAAAATTTTAATGCTTTGATTTAATATTCACACTTATGCATACTAACACTGATATCACATGGGTCAAAAATATGATGTTTTGAATGGGTCAATGCATTGATATATAAGTAAAGCACCACCTATTCTCTAAGCGTTTCACATCACCATCTTATTGTGCATTTTGAGATTAAACCCGCTTTTTTTGAATACATTTTTGCTCAAAAAAAAATATGATTATTATTCATATAAAATTTGACCTGAGATGAATTTATGGAATTTCTAGTTAATTTAAATATTATTATTAATACGACCTTCCCTTGTAAAGCTTCGACAACTTAAATTTCAGTAATTTTTTTTAGTAATCATATCATAATTGTCAAGTGTCAAAAAATTCAATGTTTACTAAAAACATTGAACTATTTTTAAGCGGTACGGTTCGGTATGCAATTATTATTGTTGCTGTCAATTTATACTTTAAATTGTCTAAAAATTCGGAGAAATTCAACATTATTAAAAAACAGATAGATTCAAAATCACCGGATATTGAATAAATAAAATAACGATAAATAAATGATGTTAATCACATGTATAAGAGAAACTTTGACAACGAAACTTATACAATTGAGTCTAAGCATTCATAGCAATGGTTATAAAGCAGCTAGTTCCTTTTTTCTTGTTTCTTGAATATCGTAACTTATTAAAGAAATTATGATGATTGATTACTTTGGAAACAATTCTTATTTCTTGGTATTATCTATCCCCTTTCACCAGAATAAAACTTTTTCGCACCACCTTTCTAAATAATAAAGAGAGAACAATAATGACGAAGTCGCAAAAAATAATTACTTCGAGTTAACAAAACCTTATAAGAAATCAAATAGTCGTAAATTTCCGACACTCACCCCACTAATAAACTTATTCCAGAAGTTTCCAGGAATAATTAGGCATGCGCTAATGGAATATTTTTAA